CCCCCACCACCCTCCCCTCCGTCTCCACCTCCTCTTGAACCTCCGTTTCCACTTCCATCTGCACCGGGCTAAAGTCCTGGACTCCTGTCCCCTGCCCTGTCAGGGCCTCAGGGGACTGAGCTCCCAGCCTGTCCTTCCTCAGAAGCCCTATCCCCTGCCTCCGTCCGTAAAGACCCAGGAGTCCTGCCGGCAGCCCCTTCCTCCCGCAGCCCTTGGAAGTCTGGGCATTCAGTCCTGTTCTTTCCCGGGACCCAGGGGGCCGGACCCCTCCTGCCCCAAGACTCTGGAACTCCAGTGCCCAACCTCCTCTCCCCACAGGAACTGGGAGTCCAGGTCCCCAACTCCTCTCTTTCCCCAAAACCCAGGAGTCGGGGTTCCTGCCCCTCTCCTCCCTTAAGGATCTCCTTTTGGTTTCAAACTCCATAATTGCCAACGTCCTGGGTGCCCCCCCCCAGCTCCAGCTTCCCTAGTCACCCCACTTAGATCCTGTACATAGCATAGCCTGTCCCCAAGTGGGGAGGAGGAAGAGGGTGCCAGAAATTCCTAGGGTGTCCCTGTCTTCATTGCCCCCCAATACAGCACCCAACACAGAAGGGAGGAGAAGCCACTTAGATCAACAGCTCCCCCCGCAACCTCGAGTTGTGCTGCAGACGGCGTCCCGATTCCTCCCCCCGCACCACCCCCCCAGCACACACACACAACACCCATCTCTCCCCACCCGAATCCTGATGCTTGGAAGAGGCTGGAAGGGTGTTCCAGAACCTTGAGGAAGGGGTGGGAGCTTGGGGCAAGGGGTGCTGGGGGCCTGGATGCCCTCAAGGTCCTTGGCAGGGGTATTAATAGCAGACTCATTGCTCTGACATGGGAGGCGAGAGCGAGAGGAGAGAGGGAGAGGGCCGGCCAGCGATGGGGGACACTGATGCAGGGAGGGGTGCAGAGAGAGGGTGAGATGAGAGATGGAGGGATAGCGATATGGGGCATCAGGTATGTGGGGCTGGGGAGAGGGAGCCAAGTGTCAGAGAAATGGGGGGCTGGAAAGGTCTGAGGTATGGGGACCCAGGAAAAAGGAGCTCAGAGAGAGAGAGAGAGAGGGTGGAGAGAGTCCCTGAGGGACAGGGTAGCTAGGTGGGGGCCAAGACCCCTGCCCGCCATTCCACCCCCCTCCCTCCATGAGGCTCCTAGCCAACTTCCCCTGTCCTAGATTTGGGGGTCCACATTCCCACCACCACCCCTGCATCCCCTGTCCCCTCCTTACCTTTTCATGACCCTGTTCTGTGGGGGGGATTGTGGGGGGGCCAGGACCGGAACCCGGCGTCCAGCGACCCCAAGATTCCGAGTAGGGCTCTGAGAGCCGATGTGGGGGGGCAGGCCCCGGGGCGGCAGCAGTGGTGGTGGCGGCAGCAGCGGCGGCCAGGACCTCCTGTCTGTCCCTGGCTCTGTCTCTCCTTCCTCTTCCTTGGTCTTGTCCTGCCCTGTCTGTCCCCCAAGGTTGCGGCCACCTGGACTAGGCGAGGACGTGGCTACACATGTTGCTTTGGAAGTTGGGCCCCGGACATTGCGGAGGCTGTCGGGGTGTCCTCCTGCTGCCCCGACCCCATGGGGATCCCCCCTCCGCCCACCTGGGGTGCCCCCCTCTGCTGCTTCAGCCCGGGCTCCTCCCCACTTTCCATGTGTCCAGTCCCGCCTCTCTCTGGCTCATTCGCACCCCCGCTTTGTGCCCTCAGCACCCCCCACCCGCCACCCTCACCTCCAGAGTCTGTGTCTGTCTGTCTGTCTGGGTCACCTCTGAAGCTGGTGGCTGGTGTGTGTGTGTGAGGAGCGGGAGATTGCCTGCCTGGGGAACTGCTTGCTCCTTCCTCGCTTGGCCACCTCCAGACCCCCCCTCGACGCCCCCACTCTCAAACACAGGCAGAAACACACATACACTCACGCACACACGCACGACCTCACTTCCCTGGGATTCCCCCTCAACACCCCCAGAGCTTGAGGAGGGACACACACACACAGAGGGGGGGTCTAATGGGGGCCAGGCTGCCACTGCCGTTAGGGGCTGTTTGGACAGACAGGAGGACACAGGCAGCCGGGGACGCCCAGACGCCTGGCCGGACGCAGGCAGGAGACACAGAACCCAGGTACACACCACCCATCTGGGTTTGGGGGGCTGGGGTGGGAGGAGTAGGGGGGCCCACGACACCCAGGCAGGCAGCTCAGGGTCGGTACAGACAGGCAGACCCCTCCCTCCCTCAGCCGCCGCAGCCCTTACAGACACACCCCCCCTCCACCAGCCAGCCTGACCCCCTTACACACAGATCCTCACCGGGCAGATGGCAGACGCTCGAGAGACCTCTGGGGGCCGGGCGGACCCACCCAGGCGACACCCCCCAGCCGGGCACCGGTGGCCGAGGGAGGCTGCGGGATGCTGCGGGCGAGGGTGGCGGCGGCGGCCGCAGCTTGGAGGAGCCGGAGCGGGAGGGACTCGCACACTCGCTGTATTCTCGCACACACACACTCACTCGGGATGCGATTAACATTCAGTCCCCGTCCGCCACTGCCGGGAGACCCATAGCCCCCCCTCCTGGCCTCCCTGGGGACCCCTCCTCCTGCCAGGGCTTGGGGAAGGGGCCGCTCGCCGCCCCAGCTACCAGCCTCTGCCTTCCTCCTGGGACAAGGGAGTGAGGGGCTGAAAATAAAAAGGGAGGAAGAAGTCAGGCTTGGTGGGGGGCAGGCAGAGGCACGGAACCCGGTGTGGAGACATCAGCTTCAGAGCTAGACTCCAGGGCTAGGGTGGCTGCCCTCTGCCCCCTCCCTGCCTTGAGGCTCTGGAAACAGAAGACCTTTCCCTGACTTCAGGGTTCGCCATACTAAGACCCAATCTGTCGCTTTTATTGCCCCATAAGGCCAGGCCTGAAAGACAGGGTCTCCACCCTGGAGCCAGGAGTCCCGCCCCCCAGCCCCTCCTCCTTCAGACCCGGCAGTCCCTTCTCCACGGGGATCCAGGAATTTGGGGCCCCTCCTCCAAGTCTGACTCTCCCCCAGTATAAGCCATCCTCAGGGACCCAAGACTCGTGGATGTCACCCTTGGGCACCCGGTCCTTCCAACCCTCTGAAGAAACCAACATGCCTGCACTCCTTCCTTTATTGAGGCACCCTGGCCTCCATCACCTGTGGGTACCCCTCATCCAGAAGGGAAGCAGCATCTGTCCCCTCCTAGACGCAGGAGTCCAGACCACAGGCTGTTCCCCCTACACCACTGCCCTCCTGCTAGAGGGCTGGGCCTGACACTTTTGTAAAGCTACCGTGCAGCTCCGAGGTAGAGCACGGGGCAGGACACCTGGGGAGGAGATGGGGGACCTGGACTTCCGGGTTTGAGGGAGAAGGGGATGGGGTCTGGACTCCTGAGTCTGAGGGAGGAGGAGATGGGGGTCCTGGACTCCTGGGTCCAAGGAAGGAGGGGATGGGGTCTGGACTCTTGGGTCTGAGGGAGGAGAGTGTGAGGGTGGGAGAGGGTGTGTGTGGGGGGGGGCAGGGCAGAAATTCTGGAGCAGGGGGACGGGGGGAAGCCAGGGCCAGGGGCTCCCGAGGTAGTTTGGGTCAGAGTTTTGGCCTTGGGCCTCCTGGGTGGGGCTTTTGTTTCTTTCATCTTCAAGGTCTGGGAGAGCATGGTGAGGTGCACATTCTTGAAAAAGAAAAGAATTGGGGCCTAAATTTGTGAGTCGTAAAGGGAGAAAGAAACTGTAGATCTAGATTCTTAAGGTCAGGAAGTTTGAGCCATAAGATGGTGGGGATGGGACCCTAAGTTCCAAGGAACAGGGTCCTAGGAAAGAGGTGGGCTGGGGGCCTGGACTCCTGGGTCTGAGGGAGGAGGGGCTGGGGGCCCTGTACTGCAGGGTCTGAGGGAGGAGGAGATGGGGGTCCTGGACTGCAGGGTCTGAGGGAGGAGGGGCTGGGGGCCTGGGCTGCAGGGTCTGAGGGAGGAGGAGATGGGGCCTGGACTCCTGGGTCTGAGGGAGGAGGGACTGGAAAGGCTGGATTCCTGGGTCTGAGGGAGGAGCCTGGGGTCCTGGATTTTGGGTCTGAAAGAGGAGGGCCTGGGGTCCTGTAGTCCTGGGTCTGAGGCAGGAGAGCCTAGGGGCCTGGACTCCTGGGTCTGAGGGAGGAGGGGCTGGGGGCCTGGATTCCTGGGTCTGAGGGAGGAGGGGCTGGGGGCCTGGACTCCTGGGTCTGAGGGAGGAGGGGCTGGGGGCCTGGACTCCTGGGTCTGAGGGAGGAGGGGCTGGAGCCCGGACTCCTGGGTCTGAGGGAGGAGGGGCTGGGGCCTGGATTCCTGGGTCTGAGGGAGGAGGGGCTGGGGGCCTGGACTCCTGGGTCTGAGGGAGGAGGGACTGGGGGCCTGGACTCCTGGGTCTGAGGGAGGAGCCGGGGGTCCTGGACTCCTGGGCCTGGGGAAGGAGGGGCTGGGGGCCTGGATTCCTGGGTCTGAGGGAGGAAGGTCTGGGGTCCTGGCCTCCTTGGTTTGGGGGAGGAGGGGCTGGGGCCTGGACTCCTGGGTCTGAGGGATGAGGGCCAGGGGTCTGGAATACCGAATCTGAGTGGGGGAGTGCTGGGGGCCTGGACTTCTGGGTCTGACAAACGGGCTGAACCTTGAGTCCTGGGTCTAGGGCAGGAAGTGGGTGGGGTATCTTTTTTGTCTTCTGGGGGATTGGCCCCAAAGGACCTGCAAGGGGCAGAAGCTGGCAGCTGAGCCTCCGGGTCCCTCAGGCTCAGAAGGCAGCCTCTATATCCCTGCTAGGGCTGAGGGTCGTGTACTGGACTGCGTACCTTCCAGAGACACAGACTGCCTGTGCGAGCCGGTGCTGGATTTGGCACTTTCCGAACCAAGCGACCATCCCAAGTTCCTAAGGGGTAGCCCCTAAGGGGTAGCACCGCCACGACAAGGCAGGAGATGGGCGATAGGGGGCGCTGGGGATCCGGGCCCCGCCCTCGGGGGCGGAGCCTCCCGGCCCGGACTCCTCCCCCTCCCGCTCTCCTCCCTCTTCCCGGCTCCTGCTAGGCCGCCAGCTCCGGCCTTTTCTCCCCCCTCCCAGAGTCCCCTCCCCGGAGCGGAGCGCACATAGGGTCCCTCTCCCATCCCCCCAGCCCAACCGCCCAGCCAGACCAGCAGTCTCGGGGGGCAGCCCCCCGCCAGCCTGCCTCCCTCCCGCTCAGCTCTGCCAGGCCCCCCCAAGCCATGAATCTCTTCCGATTCCTGGGAGACCTCTCCCACCTCCTCGCTATCATCTTGCTACTGCTCAAAATCTGGAAGTCCCGCTCGTGTGCAGGTGAGAGGCCCACTAGGGCAGTCGAAGGAGAGAGATTGCGGGTGGGGGTTGTGGGGCGTCCCAGGACTCAGGAAGGGTTTGGGGGCACTGGAGCACAGGTTCCTCCCCCACTGCTTGCTGGGGATCTCTCTTCCACGTTCTAAGTCGCCAGGGGATCAGCTTCCTCCCCCAGACTGGCGGGGGTGCATACAGTTTGATGTGGATGTCTTAGGCCCCCAGTTCAACCATCCCCAGCCCTGATCCGGGGAGCCCGAGGGTTCAGGGACCGGGAACAGGGAACCGTGGCAGGCAGGGAGGTGGCTGTGAGTTGGTGACGTGGACCGTGGCGGCAAGGAAGGGAACGGGAGGGAGGTGACCAGATCGGGGGGGCTGAGGTCAGGGTAGGTTCTCCCTAGGCCCCACCTCGGGTCCGGACTTCGGGAGGACCCTGAGGGGGCAAGGGGTGGGCATGAGGCCTAGTCTGGGACGGAGCCTCGGGCTGGAGTAGCTTCGGGGGCCTGGGCTGCCCCCTGGCTGTGGGCCGTGGGAAAGAGCCCTGTTCAGGCGGGGCGGGCTGGGGAGGCCTCCGGGGACAGCTGCACTCCAGAGCTGCCTCCAGGCTGGTCCCGGGCGCTGTGCCTGAGTTTATTGCCCATGCAGCCCATCCCCAGCCTCCTCTCTCCCTCTCTCCCTCTCTCTCTCTTTGGAACACAGGAATTTCAGGGAAGAGCCAGGTCCTGTTTGCTGTGGTGTTCACTGCCCGATATCTGGACCTCTTCACCAACTACATCTCACTCTACAACACCTGCATGAAGGTAGAGGCTCCACTCCACCTCTCTGGGACCCCTTGAGGCAGAGGAGCCGGTGTGGGTCCCTGACTCCTAGGTCTGAGGGAGGAGGTGCTGGGGGCCTGGATTCCTAGGTCTGAGGGAGGAGGTGCTGGGGGCCTGGACTCCTGGGTCCGAGGGAGGAAGGGTTGGGGCCTGGACTCCTGGGTCCGAGGGAGGAGGTGCTGGGGCCTGGACTTCTAGGTCTGAGGGAGGAGGTGCCGGGGGCCTGGACTCCTGAGTGTGAGCCTCCTGGGCCACAGGCCCTGGCCTGTGAATTGAGGCCCCTTCTCATCATCCCCCTCCTCAGGTGGTCTACATAGCCTGCTCCTTCACCACAGTCTGGATGATTTATAGCAAATTCAAAGCCACTTACGATGGGAACCATGACACATTCAGAGTGGAGTTCCTTGTCGTTCCCACGGCCATCCTGGCGTTCCTGGTCAATCATGACTTCACCCCTCTGGAGGTAGGTGCCTTGCTGTGACTCCTTATTTGGGGGGATGGCTGTGGCAGAGTAGCTATGACAGAAGACCCTCTCAAGGCCTCCCTTTGCAAGGGTGCCCAAACTGCCTCATTTTAGGACGTCTAAGTTCAATGGATGGGCTCTGGGTCAGAGGAAATTAATGCAACAGCAGCAGGGCTCGCTGTATGTCAGTCGCTGCCCTAAGAATTTCCTGAACATTAACTCATCACTTTTCTCAACAGCCCCATTTTACAGATGAGGAAACTGAGGCTTAGGGATTCTTTTTTTTGGGAGACAAAGTCTTGTTCTGTCACCCAGGCTAGAGTGCAGTGGCACGATCTCAGCTCCCTGCAACCTCTGCCTCTCTGGTTCAAGCACTTCTCTTGCCTCAACCTCCTAAGTATCTGGGATTACAGGCTCATGCCACCACACCCGGCTAATTTTTTTTATTTTTAGTAGAGATGAGGTTTCACCGTGTTAGCCAGGATAGTCTCGATCTCCTGACCTCGTGATCCACCTGCCTTGGCCTCCCAAAGTGCTGGGATTACAGGCATGAACCACCACACGCATTTTTTTTTTTTTTTTTTTTTGTCTTGCTGTGTTGCCCAGGCTGGAGTGCAGTGGCATGATCTCAGCTCACTGCAACCTCTGCCTCCTGGGTTCAAGCAATTCTCATGCCTCAGCCTCCTAAGTAGTTGGGATTACAGGCATGAGCCACCACACCTAGCTAATTTTTTTTTTTTTTTTTTTTTTTTTTTTTTTTGCATTTTTAGGAGAGACAGCGTTTTCCGTGTTGACCAGGCTGGTCTTGAACTCCTGGCCTCAAGTGATCCGCCCACCTTGGCTTTCCAAAGTGCTGGAATTATAGGAGTGAGCTGCTGTGCACTGCATAAGGAAAATATTCTTAAAAAATTCAGATATCATGGAATAGATAAAAATGCAACAGACCAGGCCAGGAGAGGTGGCTCACGCCTGTAATCCCAACACTTTGGGAGGCCAAGATGGTCAAATTACCTGAGGTTGGGAGTTTGAGACCAGCCTGGCCAACTCGTCTCTACTAAAATTACAAAATTCGCTGGCATGGTGGTGCATGCCTGTAATCCCAGCTACTTAGGAGGCTGAGGCAGGAGAATCGTTTGAACCTGGGAAGTGGAGGCCTGGGCAACACGAATGAAACTCTGTCTCAAAAAAAAGCAACAGAACTTCCATCTCTCCCTAAGCTGTGGCTGTTCCCTAAGGGCAACCCCAGGGGAAAGAGTTGAGCGGGCATCAATTTAATGGGTACGTTTCCCAGCAGCCTTAGCTAACCTGGCTTGCATAGAGCCTCCCTGGAGGATTCTGGATGATTCTGGGAGCAGGTCCTAGACTCTGCCTGCATCAGTGGGAATCTGGACACGTTTCTTATCCCTTGGGCCTCAGTTTCCTCATCTGTATGATGGGGATGACAAGCGTACCTACCTCATGGGGCCAAGGCTTAGGCCAGTGCCTTGGGTGTCGTAAATCCTGGAAAAGCATGTGTTGTTATGAACATGTCCTGGTGCTCCCCACCTGCCTCCTGGAAACCAAGACAACCAAGCAGCCACACCTGCCACCTGGCTTTGCTCTCTGAGGGGAGGTTTCAGTGTGCCTGCAGCTCACAGATCACCCCAGGTGGAACTTTCAGGGAGCTGGGGACTGAAAAGGGGCTGGAAGATGTATGCAGTCTCTTCTTCCCTGTCCCATGATGTCCTGTCCTGCCCACGAATGGTGGTCATCACTGCTCCCTAAATGGTGGCCTGTGCTGAGCACATGGGGACCCCTTTATAGATGCTCACTCCGATGTTCTCACTCACTCATTCATTCAGGAATTGTCCTCGGTGCCAGGGCCTTGGAGTGAATACGAAGTGGGATCCCAACCCCCCTATGGAGCTCAGTTTCTGGTGTGAGTCGCCAGGAAGGAGATAAGATGGGGCGATGTGACAGTCCTGGGGGAAGAATGGCCAGGGAGGGGCCTCCCAGGAGGTGACTGATGAGCTGAGGCTTCGAGGATATGGAGGAGGCAGATGTGTGACATCGTAGGGGTGGAGCTTTTCCTGCTTTGGGAACAGTAAATGCAACTTGCCACAAGAAATGGCATGTGGGCCTGGCATGGTGGCTCACGCCTGAAATCCTAGCACTTTGGGAGGCCGAGAGAGAGGACACCCTGAGGTCAGGAGTTTGAGACCTGCCTGGCCAACAATGTGAAACTCCGTCTCTACTAAAAATACAAAAATTAGGGCCGGGCACGGTGGCTCAAGCCTGTAATCCCAGCACTTTGGGAGGCCGAGGCGGGTGGATCACAAGGTCAAGAGATCGAGACCATCCTGGTCAACATGGTGAAACCCCGTCTCTACTAAAAATACAAAAAATTAGCTGGGCATGGTGGCGTGTGCCTGTAATCCCAGCTACTCAGGAGGCTGAGGCAGGAGAATTGCCTGAACCCAGGAGGCGGAGGTTGCGGTGAGCCGAGATCGCGCCATTGCACTCCAGCCTGGGTAACAAGAGCGAAACTCTGTCTCAAAAAAAAAAAAAAAAAAAAATACAAAAATTAGCTGGGCGTGGTGTTGCGTGCCTATAGTCCCAGCTACTCAGGAGGCTGAGGCAAGAGAATGGCTTGAACTCAGGAGGCAGAGGTTGCAGTGAGCCAAGATCACACCATTGCACTCCAGGCTGGGTGACAGAGCAAGGCTCCCTCTCAAAAAAAAAAAAAAAGAAGAGAAATTTCCAAGACAAGATCGCACCCCAGCCTGCCATTCAGAGAGGCACAATTACGAAGTGTTCATGAGCTGGGACTACGAATCCTTGGTTCAAATCATTGCTCTGCTGCTTGTTGGCTGCATGGTCTTGGGCGAGTGTCTTACCTTCTCTGGTGTGAGTTTCCGCACCGGTAGAATAACTGTGTTAATCATAGGATTTCCTCGCTGGGCCATGGCAATGATTAAATCAGAGATTCCAGAAACACAGGCAGAGCTGTAGCACGTGGTGGTGCCTGGATTGCCTTCCTTCTCTCTCCACCTTTGCTGCCCTATAAATGCAATGTGTTCCTCTGCCTTCTCACCTGCGCTGTCCCCTCCCACCTCATCCTGTCCCCGGCGTCTCTACAGATCCTCTGGACCTTCTCCATCTACCTGGAGTCGGTGGCCATCTTGCCGCAGCTGTTCATGGTGAGCAAGACCGGCGAGGCGGAGACCATCACCAGCCACTACTTGTTTGCGCTGGGCGTTTACCGCACACTCTATCTCTTCAACTGGATCTGGCGCTACCATTTCGAGGGCTTCTTCGACCTCATTGCCATCGTGGCAGGCCTGGTGCAGACAGTCCTCTACTGCGATTTCTTCTACCTCTATATCACCAAAGGTAGCCGGGATGTGGGGAGGGGCTGAAAGGGAGCCTCCTCTTTCCTCAGCTCCTGCCTTCCCTGGGGCCTGGGGTCTGTCTCCTTACCTCTGTATTATGCAAGGGAGGGAGGGTCTCTTCTCCTGGTTTCGGGGTTCGCCGGCACACCATCCTCTTAGGAATTCAGATCTTTAGCCTCTGCCTCCCTAAGGACTAAGAAGTTTCTGTTCTTAGCCCCGGTGTTGCTTTGAGTGGAGGCCAGGCAGGGCAGGGACTCAGGCCCACGGGGGTTCATTCATTTATTCATTCAACAAATGTATGGAGTACTTTCTGTGTCTCCAGCCAGGTGCTAGGCTCTGCAGATCCAGCAGTATGAGAAAAGATAGACAAAGGCCTCCTCTTCCCTTTTATTCTGGTGGGGGAGATGGTGAACAAACAAGTAAACAAAGAGAATTGGCCAGGTGCGGTGGTTCAGGCCTGTAATCCCAGCACTTTGGAAGGCCAAGGCAGGTGGATCACTTGAGTCCAGGAGTTCCAGACCAGCCTAAGCAACACAGCAAGACCCTGTCACTATAAAAAATAAAAAAATTAGCCAGGCATGGTGGTGAATGCCTGTGGGAGGCTGAGGTGGGAGGATTGCTTGAGCCAAGGAGGTCAAGGCTGCAGGGAGCTGTGTGCCACTGCACTCCAGCCTGGGCACTAGAGTGAGAGCCTGTCTCCAGAAAGAGGCCAGACGCCGTGGTTCATGCCTGTAATCCCAGCACTCTGGGAGGCCAAGGCAGGCAGATCAGGAGGTCAGGAGATAGAGACCATCCTGGCTAACACGGTTAAACCCTGTCTCCACTAAAAATACAAAAAATTAGCAGGGTGTGGTGGTGGGTACCTGTAGTCACAGCTGCTTGGGAGGCTGAGGCAGGAGAATCACTTGAACCAGGGAGGTGGAGGTTGCAGTAAGCCGAGATCATGCCACTGGACTCCAGCCTGGGTGACAGAGCGAGACTCTGTCTACTTAAAAAAAAAAAAAGAAAGAAAGAAAGATCACTATTGCTGGTAGTGAGAAGAGGTAGGAACGAAATCAACCAGGAATGTGTCTGTGAATCCTGAGGGACCTCCCTCCCTGAGGATCTGCCCATCTAGCATGCAGGCCCTGCTCTGCCTGTGGGGGGCTGTCCCCTCCCTGCGGGGGCCCAGCAGTGACACTCTCCTTGTTTCGTCTCCTCACAGTCCTAAAGGGGAAGAAGTTGAGTTTGCCGGCGTAGCCCTGGTCCTCGCCATCTCTCTCCTTGGCAGCGGCGGGAGGCAGAGGAAGGCAGCGGACGATGAAGAGCTTTCCCATCCAGGGGTGACTTTTTTAAGAACCCACCTCTCGTGCTCCCCATCCCGCCTCCTGCCGGGTTTCAGGGGGACAGTGGAGGACCCAGGTCTTTGGGAGCTCAGGACTTGGGCTGTTTGTAGTTTTTTGCCTTTTAGAGAAGAAAAGAAAAAAAAAAAAATCTTTCCACTCTTTAGTTTTTTGATTCTGATGACTCGTTTTTTCTTCTACTCTGTGGCCCCAATTTTTATAAACTCTTTTTGAGTGTCCCATGGGCCGGGGCAGGGTCCAAGATCTTTGCCCTTCTTCAGGCCCCTCGGCTCCCTCCCAGATCCCAACCCCAGCCCCACTGGTTGCCAAACACTAAATCTGCCGACACCCCATCTGCCCCACCTCCTGCTATGGCTGTGAACCACAGCTGCCCTTAAATTTCTAGGTTGGGGATAGGGAGAAAGGGAGGCCCAGGAAGGTCTCCTTTGATTTTTTTCATAGTAACTTTTCCCCCCAGAGTTTGAGTTTTTTGGTCTTCTTCTGGTTTTTTGGCAAATTATGGGGGCTCAGGGCTCACATTCGGGAAGTGGGCTGACCTGAGGGTCACTGTGGCTCTCACACCATGTTTTTGTACAGAACTGACGGTTGATTCTTTGTTCTCTTGAAATAAACAGAAGAAAATGAGACCTTTCTTTTGCTGCTCCTTGCCTCTCTTTCTCTGGTGTGTGTGGGGTCCTTGCCCCTGCCCCTTTTCTGCTTCCGATTTTGCCTTGTTGACCATCTGCAGGCGACGAGGCCTGGGAGGAGCAGGAAGAGGAGAAACTGGGTGCCCCAAGCCTTTCAGCTGTGCAATTCCTCATGGTGCTGCTGGGGAAGAGATTTTGGAGAAAATCTGGAAGAGTCTTCTTACCTTGGCACAGAACTTGTCTGATGGTTCTCGAAACCCTTAGGGTTACAGAGGACCTTCAAGAGCATCGGCCAGGCGTGGTGGCTCACACTTACGGTCCCAGCACTTTGGGAGGCCGAGGCGGTTGGATCACCCGAGGTCAGGAGTTCCAGACCAGCCTGGCCAACGCAGCGAAACCCCATCTCTACTAAAAATACAAAAGTTAAGCCAGGTGCGGTGGCTCACGCCTGTAATCCCAGCACTTTGGGAGGCTGAGGCAGGTGGATCACCAAGTCAGGAGTTGGAGAGCAGCCTGGCCAGTATGGTGAAACCCTGTCTGTACTAAAAATACACAAAAGTAGCTGGGCATGGTGGTGCTCGCCTGTAATCCCAGCTACTCAGGAGGCTGAGGCAGGAGAATCACTTGAATCTGGAAGGCGGAGGTTGCAATGAGCTGAGATCAAACCACTGCACTCCGGCCTGGGCAACAGAGAGAGACTATCTCAAAACAAACAAACAAACAAAACCCCCAAAATTAGTTAGGTATGGTGGTAGGTGCCTATAATCCCAGCTGCTCAGTAGGCTGAGGCAGGAGAATCACCTGAACCAGGGAGGTGGAGGCTTCGGTGAGCCGAGATCACGCCACTGCACTCCAGCCTGGGCAACAAGAGTGAAACTCTGTCTCTAAAAAAAAAAAGGAATGGGTCTCCAGCCTTTAAAAAACAGATTTTCACATTAAAGTCTAGAATCTAGATTTCTGGCTTCTCTTGAAAATAAATCCATCAGTCTAACAATGCCAGGTCCTCATTTCTAGGTGGCAACAGATGGCTGGATCTGAATGGATAGGACACAGCTCTTTTCACCACAGCCCCCAGGACTTGGCTGCAGGCTTGTTACCATTTATTATTGGGCTGACGCCGTGTGGTTATTTTTGTTTGTTTGTGGAGTTAAAAGGGAAGTGAAATATTTTCCTTGTCTCTCTCCAGATTGGCTTCACACCTGGCCTATTTTCTTCACTTATGTTACCTGCCTGGCTCTTACAGGCTTTTGGATTTTTGACCCTTGACCAAGTCAAGCTTCCTAGATGTCCTCTAAGACTTTCCTAAACTCTGCGTAATCGCCTGCAGCTTCCCTGTAGGCTGGCTCTGCAAGCTTGAAGAGGCAGGGAGCTGGCGTTTCGTGAGCACTTGATATGTGTCAGGCACTGTGTGTGACGCGGATGGACTGCTGCCACCCTCACGGTACCCCTACAGAGAGGGCACTGTGGATGAGGAAACAGGCTCAGAGGGGTGAGTGGCAAAGGTGGGCTTTGTACCTGGGCTTTGTGATACCAGAGCTTGTGTGTTTAACCAATGCTGAGTAGTTTTTCGGTTGTTTTTTTGTTTCTTTCTCTTTCTTTTTTTGAGACAGAGTCTCACTCTGTCATCAGGTTGGAGTGCAGTGGCGTGATCTTGGCTCACTCAACCTCTGTCTCCTGCCCCAGCTTTCCAAGTAGCTAGGACTACAGGTGTGCACCACCACGCCTGGCTAATTTTTGTATTTTTAGTAGAGACGGGGTTTCACCATGTTGGCCAGGATGGTCTTGAGCTCTTGACCTCGTGATCTGGCCGCCTCAGGCTCCTAAAGTGCTGGGATTACCGTGGTGAGCCACCGCACCCGGCCTTGTTTCTTTCTCTTAAGCCAAGGGACCTTCTGCTTAGATTTGTGCTGGAAGCCCAATATGGAAAACACAGGAACGGGGCCGCTCGCTTGCTAGGTCTGACTGGGGAAGGGGGTTGTATTGCTGCCTGCTCAGCCCAAGGCATCTTTTTTTTTTTTTTTTTTTTTTTGAGACAGGTCGCGCTCTGTTGGGCAGGCTGCAATGCTGTGGTGCGATCTTCTCTCACTCCAACCTCTGCCTCCTCAGTTAAAGTGATTCTCCTACCTCAGCCTCCAGAGTAGAGATCTGTCTCTAAAAAAAAAAAAAAAAATCTGGTCCAATTTAGTTTTATAGCCAATGCAACTTGGGCCCAGAGATAGTAAGTGATTCACCCCAGCTAACCCGCTGGGACACCTGGCGCTCAGAGTCCTCCCATTTCTGCGTCGGAACACTTCCTGTCCCACTGCGTTGCTGCTGTTTCCTCTCTATGCCCAGTGAGACCACAGTCATTTCTACATCTCCAGGTACAGGACCAGCCACGCAGGAAGCCTCCAGAAAAGGACTAATGGACTCCAGCGTTGATTCCTGGGCCTCACATCCTTTTGTCTGGTTTGTGAACTAGTGCTCTGCAGGCCACGATGGTCCCAGACAGGTGTGTTTTGTTTGGCCTGCCCAACATTTGTGTTTATTTTGCATTTGTTGCCCACTGATTTCACTTTTTTTTTTTTTTTTTTGAGATGGAGTCTTGCTCTATCGCCCAGGCTGGAGTGGAGTGGCACAATCTTGGCTCACTGCAAACTCCGCCTCCTGGGTTCAAGTGATTCTCCTGCCTCAGCCTCCAGAGTAGCTGGGATTATAGGTGTACACCATCATGTCTGGCTAATTTTTGTATTTTTAGTAGAGACTGGGTTTCACCATGTTGGTTCGGCTGGTCTCAAACTCCTGACCTCATGATCTGCCCACCTTGGCCTCCCAAAATGCTGGGATTCCAGGTGTAAGCCACCGCGCCTGGCCTGATTTCACATTTTAAAAGCCCCCACAAAATGGATGTCCAAATTGTTGTAGAAAAACTGGAGTTTGTATAGCTATCCTGTCCGGTGGGGTAGCCAGTAGTTACATGGGACTGTTGAGCCCCCGAAACCTGGGGAGTCCAAACTGAGGTGTGCTGTTGGTGTAAATACACCATGGATTTCAAAAACTTAGTACCGAAGACTTTAAAATGCCTCACTAATAATTTTTACATTGATTACATGTTGCAATGATGCTTTGGATATATTGACATAAATAAAATAGTAAAATTAATTGCACTTGTTTCATTTTACTTTTCTTTCCTTTTTTTGAGACGGAGCCTGACTCTGGAGTGCAGTGGTGTAATCTTGGCTCACTGCAACCTCTGACTCCTAGGTTCAAGTGATTCTTGTGCCTCAGCCTCCCAAGTGACTGGGATTACAGGCACACCTGGCTAATTTTTGTATTTTTAGTAGAGACAGGGTTTCACCATGTTGGCCAGGCTGGTCTTGAACTCCTGGCCTCAAGTGATCCACCTGCCTCCACCTCTCAAAGTACTGGGATTACAGCTGTAAGCCACTGCATCCAGCCTTGTTTTACTTTTCTCAGTGTGGCCACTAGACTATTTTAAACTCCCCTCGGGTGTCACATCAGATTTCAGGTGGACAGCACTGTTCTAGAAACCCCAGGCTGGCCAGGCGTGGTGGCTCATGCCTATAATCTCAACATTTTGGGAGGCCAAGGCAGGAGGACTGCTTTAGCCCAGGAGTTCAAGACCAGCCAGGGCAACATAGTGAGATCCGATCTCTTCTAAAAAAATTGAAAAATGAGCTGGGAGTGGTGGCACACAACTGTAGTCCCAGCTACTTGGCGGCTTGAGGCAGGAGGACTGCTTGATGCCAAGAGGTCATGGCTGTAGGGAGCTATGATTGTACCACTGCATTCCAGTCTGGGCTACAGAGGGAGATGCCATCTCAGGAAAAAAAAAAAAACAACGAGGCCCTGTTACCGAATGTGTGCAGAGTGGAGGCTGCCCCTCCTGGACATAGCCCTGTCCCCCCAACTCCCTTAGCAGGTGCTTCACCTACTGGGGTTACCTGCCTGGCTCCTACAGGTAGGAACGTTTGTGGCCTGTGCATGAGTCTCCCACTTACCACCGGGTTTCTCTAGAATAAAAACCTCTCCTCCCCAAAGATAGTCTTTGAACTATTTGAAGACAAGGATCTCCCTTGAATCTTGTTCACAGACTCAGCACCCTCGTTGACAGACTCCTCACACAGCGTGGAGTTTAGTCTTTGGTCACCATGGGGAGTGAGAGGGCTTGGGCTCGGGCTTGAGTGACAGGGCTCGGTCCCATTGTTGGCCCTTCCTCTCGGTGTTTTCTCCACAGTTGCAATTTTCTCTCTGAACTTTTGCTTCCTCAACTATAAGATGGGGTACCTTGCAGGGCGTGGTGGCTCACGCCTCTAATCATAGCGCTTTGGGAGGCCAAGGTGGGCAGATCACCTGTGGTCGAGAAGTCAAGACCCGCCTGACCAACATAGAGAAACCCTGTCTCTACTAAAAACACAAAATTAGCCGGTCATGGTGGCGGGCGCCTGTAATTCCAGCAACTCGGGAGGCTGAGGCAGGAGAATCGCTTGAACCTGGGAGGCGGAGGTTGCTGTGAGCTGAGATTGCACCGCTGCACTCTAGCCTGAGTGACAAGAGTGAAACTGTCTCAAAAAGAAAAAAAAAAAGGTGGGGCACCTTGTGCCTCCCTCCCCTGGCCAGTGTGGGGGCTCCAGGAGTAATGGCTTGACAGGACAGTGTGAAACAGGCCTCAAAAAAGTGCTTGCCTCCTGTCACCACCTCCAATCCATCACTATGAAGGTGGTGCCTCAGTGATGGTGCCAGGAGGTGGTATGGAAATGTGACCCAGTGCAGAGACCCCAGAGGTGAACTAGTGGGACTCTTTCCCACCCTTGTCACTCAAGGGACCAGAGCGGAACAGACATGAGAAGGACTGAAGGCTGTTTTCAGAAACCCTTCTGGAGGGAGGATTCTCTCTTTACTGATGTGGATAAGGATATTTAATTGTCAGGCATCATAGCGAGGCGGGGGCCCTTTGGAGTGGTCAGACCGGGGGACAGGGCAGAGCTGGCATAATTCAGGCTGT